TCTCTGCTGCTGCCAGGCCTGGGACGCCAGGTTTTGGGTCGCTTTTTAAATTTTGCTTGCAAACCAGTAAAGAAACTGGCAGGATAATAAAAATAAATGAAAACCCAGCCCCAAGCCTGCCCTTCCTCATGGAGAGAGAGCTTTTGGCAAGGCTCTTGGGCTGCACACCATGCTCCTGCCTGCAGGTGTGCACCTCCATGGGGGAGGATGTGCACACTGGATTGGCTTGGCTGTGTGGAGAAGATGCTTTAGCCGGGGGGAAGAGTGCGTGCCACGCTTTCTTAATTTCTAATTTTGCAACTCCTTTGGAAGCAGGAGAGCTGCTTTAGCAAAGCTCTGCTGCATGGACAGGCCTGGGAAGCCAGGTTTTGGGTCGCTTTTTAAATTTTGCTTGCAAACCAGTAAAGAAACTGGCAGGATATTAAAAATAAATGAAAACCCAGCCCCAAGCCTGCCCTTCCTCATGGAGAGAGAGCTTTTGGCAAGGCTCTTGGGCTGCACACCATGCTCCTGCCTGCAGGTGTGCACCTCCATGGGGGAGGATGTGCACACTGGAGCAGCACCGGAGCCACACCAGAGCCAGCCTGAAGCCATCCCAGAGCTCCACACTGCTGCACAAGGGATGGGCAGTGGCGCTTTGACTCCAGCAGCAGCAGGTTGTGCCCATGATCTGCTCAGCTGCTCGTTTGAGATAATGGGCTCATATACGCTCTGAGCATGCTGGCCAGGGTGCAGGACAGGGTACGTTCCCGTGGTGCCCTGAAGCCGGTGGAGATGAGCAGGTCTGGGTCAGGAGAAGACTCTAAAACAGAGGCTTGTTAGGAGCCGGCTGCTGTCTGCCAGGACACCTTTTACCTGTGCCATTCCCTTTTTTTCCTGTTCTTCCTCTTTTTCTCGTGTCCTTTTCAGATGATACATTTTTGGGGGCAAATTCTGCCTTGTCTTCGACTGTGCAGGAGGTGTGTCGTATGAGCACAACTGAAACGGAGGCGTGCTCCTTGTGGCAAGGCTCACGTCTCAGGCTGGCGAGGATTTCTACAGCAGTATTTACTCAGCAGCATGCTGTGAACATGTGTTTAAATGAGGCAAGGACAAAAAGATTTGGATGCTACCATTTTCCTTCAGAAACTGCAGCTTTATTGAAATTGAAATGTTTCACAGTATTATGACAACAATGCTGGCATTTTTTGCTGGCGGGAGTTGGTAAACTGTATAATCTTAGATTCCTTGTTTTTGTCCTCTTCTAGATACTTTGTTTTGATATTCTCAAAATCTTATGTTTCAGTAAACACAGACTCAGTCACTGCACAGATAAAGTTATATTGCTTTGCGTGTGCAATGACACATTGATTTGGAGTTAGAAGACTGGACGTTTAATGCATCAAAAAGAAAATGAAATGGGAGTTTTTGTTCTGCAGCAAGTCCTAAGGATGAACTTACCATTACAGTTCAGCCTGGTCACAAAACGGGGAGTGCTGGAGTTTCCTGGAGGGGAACCTTGTCTGACCACTAGTAGTTTTAAAATACCTGTTCCGCTCTGCTCCTGTCATTGCTGCAGGAATTGCTGAGCTGGTTGAGAGCTGGTGTAGCCTGTACATCCCTGTGCTGCTCGAATGCCCCATGGGCACCATGTGAGAGCTGGGTAGTGGGGTCTTGGTGAGCTGAACCTTGGGATTCCCTTTCATTTCAAGCCTCTCTGTCAGAAAAGCACCAAATGCAAAATAGTGGTCAGTTTGGAAAGGCATTTATTAGAGGTCAACATCGTACCACGCAGGGCATTGCAAAGGTCCATGCCCCAACACCTAGGTGGGGAAGCCCAGCCTGCTTGCCCATGCCAACACAGTGCTGGAGGGCAAGGCCATTGAGCTGGTGCTCCAAGAGCCACTGCAAAGTTCAGGTACAGCCGTAGGACCCGAGCAAGAATGTCTCCCTGTTCGGCCACAGGCTGTGGGTCAGACACATTTCTTGTGCCCTGCAGAGATCCCGCTTACCCATAGCTCTGCCTTTGTCCCTGGGAGCCTGATCCTGCACTCCCTTCTCAGCCAGGGTGTCCACTAACCCCACTGGTAATTCAGGGCATGTAGGAATCCTGTGGCAGAGCCTTAAAATCTTGCTCGGAGTCTCCTTGCACACCCAGAGGCTCTGTGTGACGAGCCTGAGCACCCACAGTGGAGAGGAGGTTAATTTAAACTATATCCAGGATGCTTCCACTCTTCTCAGGAGTATACGTGAGTGCGTTTAGTAATTCTCTCCTGAGAGCAAGCTCTGGCAGTATCAGCCTCAAAGCAGAAACCTTGACAAAATTAATCAGGACTGGTACATGGACTGACACAGTTTGTTTTACTAAGTCCCGCTCCCTTCACCAAGATGAAAGTGTAATACTGTAAGCACTTAACGGCGCCTATGTTCAATTAATTCCCTGTGCTGGCAAGAAAGAATTGCACTGCAGCAATCACACCAGCCTGAGACCTGTGAAAGAGGAGCTAAAAGAAGAGATGCTGTGATTTGCAAGTGGCAGGAAGAAAGGATACTTGGGTTGAAAAATTATTTTGGGGGGACTAAAGAGAATAGGAATAGGGAGAGCTGAGAATGGTGAAAAGACTGTGGTCGTTAGTCCCTGGTCTTTGTCCTGTGAGTATGGAGCAGCAGGGAGAGGCGTGAGCCAGTGTCTCCATGGGAAGGCAGGACAACGCTCTTGGCATGCAGGTGGTGGGGAGTGGCTGTCTGGCCCCAGCAGAGCACCAGCTGCTCCCCATCGTCCCTGTGCCTGCTCTGCTCTTGCTCTGGTGCTCCCTGCTCCTCTGCACCGGGCAACCCACTCCTGTCTGCCCCAGCTGGCGTGGGAACTGATGCAAATGGGTGACCGTGCTCCCTCCTCTCCGGGGCAGTCCTGAATGCCGTGCCCCATAGCTCTTGTGGAAGGGGAGACAACCAAGCTGTGGTCCTCCAGGGTGGTCAACAGAAGCATGGGCAGAAGTAGTCAGTTCCCTGCTGTAGCTCTGCAGCACCTTCCTGCTCTCGCATCCTGTCATCAGCCTCAGTGGCACCCACACCCAGCTCTGCGGCAGGGGCACGACAGCTTTTGCTGCGTGGGGTGGCTCAGTCCTGCTCTGACCGCTGCTGGAGTGAGGACAGACCCCGAGTTTCAGAGGGATGTGCTGGGAAGAGGATGCAAACCTTGGCTGCTCATGTGGCATCTGGCTCAGTGGCTGTAGCAGGTGTCCTCATCTCAAAGCCAGAAGAGGAGGTGGAGAAAGGGGCACCTTTTTTCTTTTTTTTTCCCCCCACTGTGTTGTGAATGACCTGGAAGTGCTGCAGTACAGGGATGCACATGGAGACGTATCCAGAAGTGCACGGGAAGCAAGCATGTGCGTGCCTGGGGGTCAGTCCGTCACTGTCAGCATGTCCTGGCACGTGTGCTGGTGTAGAGTCAGCTCAACATGTGCACGCTAAAATTGGGCAACAGCAACACAGTCTAATGAAGAAAAACAATTCAATTTCGTGCTGGCTTGTTGCAATAACTTCTTTACCATTTTTGCTCGTCACATTTGGCTTGACACTGCTTATAGTGGGTTTCATTTGATGCGGTGTCCCTGCTCCCACCCAGACATGGTCCCTGCATGCTGGCTTGGGAGGGTTTGCCTGCACCATCGCAGTGCCACAGCTGCCGGTGTCAGCATGGCGTCGTGCAAGGGCAGGGCTTGGAGCCGGTCAGTTAGGATTAGATTCAGTTCTTCTGTGGGTTTCTGTGAAAATATTAGAGAACAAGTAGGTGCCAGAAATGACTGTGTCAAGAAATAAATTGATGATAGTATGAATTAGAAAGGAAAAACGACAGAAGGATGGACAAGTCTTTTCTGGATGGGGGCATGGTGACAGGGAGGAAGAGTGAATGCTTTGTGGTGTGTTGTTTTCATTTTTCACTTTAAATGCAAGCTTTTTTGATTTCACTGCTGAAAGGTGAACTGGAAAAATCAAACTCAGAAGTGTAAAACCTTTGGAAAGCGTGAGAGAAATATTGGGCTTTGGTAGCTGCACTGAGTCAGAACAGCAGTGGAGGAAGAGGGAGGGGGAAAGTGAAGGCCCTGACCCCAAAAAGACCTCCTTTACTCCAAAACCTCGGGGGGTGCTGCACCCGGCTCCGGTGGGATCCACGCATCACTCCGTGGGTCGGGATGAACTTGTTTGGTGCCTCTGGATCTCTTCCCTGCACTTCCCAGCTCTCTGCCTGAGCTGAGCTGCTGTGGCTACATGCTGGTGCCAGTGTCAGTGCCAGCAGGGACCGGGGTCTCCACTGGCAGTCACGTCTTCGAGCCAGGCACCACCACTCCCTGCTCCTCATCGACCTCCTGGTGCTGTGGTGGGTGAGGACAGCAGTTCCACTTGTCTCTTTGCAGGCATGCGAGGTGTTTTACCCCAAGGTGCTGCATGCCCTGCAGCAGGAGATGATCCCCAAGGACTCTCGGGCAACAGGAGTGGCCATGATGGGACACGGACTGACAAACTGGGCACCCCAGAGGGTGCGTTCCCCTGTTCTCTGGCTACAGAGAACATCCCCAAGACCCCAGCTAGACAGGACATGCACATGTCAAAGTCTGGTGAGCTGCTCAGTTTACCTTTGCTCATTCTAGACTGTCTCATTTGGCTGAGGAAGGCTTCCATGTTTTTAATTGCTTGAGTTTGGCTGGGATTCACAATATACAGCAGTTTATTTTAGGCTACCCATGAGACTGGTTTTCACTGACCTTGTGAAGCTTTCCAGTATTCTCCGCGAAATATGGCTCCTGAGGCTGGGGCTTGGTAACCTGATGTCCCTCCAGCCCAGGATAGCGGTTGTGGTGCCCTCAGCAGATAATGCAAGGCTGTCCGCTCTGCAATTATGCAAGTGTAAATGGGATGATGACCCTCTGAAGGGATCTGCTTTGCCTCCATTGATTATGGCTTGAATACTTATCTTTTAGTTAATAAACCTAGGTGAGATGGGCTCCTGCCTAAAAGTTCTGCAAACATCTTTGCAAATGCTTAGCCTGGCCAGTGATTTCATGGACTGTCTTGAATTACTCTTGTGCATGGTAAGACTACCCTTCTAGACAACTGGGACCACAGTCCTGAAGCTTGGTTTATCTTCTTTAAAGCCAGCCCTTTGCAGTGGGTTTGCATGATATTTAAGTTGGGATGTCTGGGGCACCGAGGATGGTGCTGAGGACAACACAGACCTCCCCGTGTACAAGCTCCCATGCTGCTGCAGCACTGACTGATGCAGAAGTCACATTCCCATAGCCAAACTCCATAGTTTCTGACCCATCGGGGTTGCAGCAGCAGAGTATCACATGCTTTGGTAGGACTCTGATCATGAGAAACAAGGTTCTTCTCCATGGCTGTGCCAAGGAGTGCTTTGCACGTACCGTGCAATAGCAGATGTTGGCTGAGCTCCATTTTTCGGATGTGTTGGCTTGTGCTCCCTTGGAAATGAGCAGTAGGAGGTTGGTGATGAAGCCTGAGCTGATTTCCTGACATGGTGCTCAGGACAAAAACAGCCTAGAAGAAACAGGTGGGCTTGCCTGTGAGATGGATCCTGTGGATCCTACCACAATGGCAAGGTAGGGTGGAAGAGCCCATCCTTGCAGGAGATGTTTCAGTTGGTAGGGCTGTCTCCTCAGGGTGTCTTCTCGGGCAGCATGGCTTATTTCACCAGCCCTGGAAACCACTCCAGGCAGCTCACCGAGGCCAGTTTGGGGAGAAGGTGGAGAAAGCCCTGCATTTTGCAATTATACCACCATCTTGAGCCGACGGTTAGCAGTAAATGTCTGTGGGCTTCCTTTTAGGGGCTGGCGATGGGATTTTCACTCTGTGCTCAGGCTTTTGAGCCAGAAGCCCTCGAGTAATCACTCAAGTTGTTCTGAAAAGCAAAGCCTTCAGCTGGAGGCTGTGTAAGAGGAGGGAAGGCCAGGAGGTTCTCCAGCCTCCCAGGCAGAGGGTCCTTGGCTCAGCGCTCAGGGGAGAGCTGGCGACTGGCGGCACAGGGCATGCCATCTGTGTTCCCCTTCTCCAGAGGGTGTGCCAGGGCCATGGTGGTGGAACAGCTGGGGCACTGCCACGCTCAGCCCATGCCCAGGTGCTGGGCAGCCGTCGGATCTGCCAGAGCAGGGTCGGGGTGGGAAGCAAATGGCCCAAAACGCACCTTTGGCTTCAGTGCCACTGATGCTTTGCCTGACTGAGGTCTGGTGGTACCACCTTCTCCTGGAGGGGCCCGCTCCTTTGCCTCACTGAAGCTGCAGAAGTTACCCCCTCTGTGGCAAGTCACATCCCTGGCTACGAAGACCCTCAACCATGGCTGTCGGGCCACTGTCCCAAATGGGGTAAAGGCAGGGAGTTCAGAATGGCCGGCAGCTCTCGGATGGGGTCACTTACAGCCCAGCCTGCTCCAGAGCCATTCCTCGCGTTGGCTCTTTGTTGCTCATCCAAACCTGCCTAGGGGTCTCAGATGCATGTGTCCGAGTGCAAGTCCTTCCAGGGGGCTTCTTCCACACTGTGGCGTCTTGCATCTCATGCGTGTGAAACTGCTGTGACTTGGAGACAAAACTGGTAGTGCCTTGGAAAATGTTTTGCCCAACTCTTTTCTTACACCAAATCAGAGTTGGTGTCCTCTCCAGTGCACTTGGAAGGTATTTAATAGCTGGTGCTGTCTGGACAGATTGGTATCTCTCTGGATACACCTGAAGTCAAAGACTCTTCCTCATCCAAGCAAATGGTCCAGGTTCCAAGTGATCCTTTGGTGATCATCCAATCTACCAGCACTTAGCCCTGCAGGGCAGAAAAGTCATTGCCGATATTTTTCAGGCCTTGTCTTAGTAGATGAGTGCCTCGGCATTCATCAATCTGCAAAGCTTTAAGCCTCCCCTGCATAGTTCATTCAGGTGTGTAACGTATGTCCTCAGTCAAAAAACAGAGCACAAATTTGATCAGTTTGAGGTTTCCATTTCAAAAGCTGTGATATGGAGAATCAGATACTTCGCTGGATGAAGCATTATTTGCTGGAGGTAATTGTAAACTACTTTCTGAGTTCAAAGTTGTTACCAAGTGAAAGAGAAAATCACCAATATTTTCTGAAGACAATTTCTCCCTTCAACAAATGTATTAGATGCCAAAGAGTGTTGCCTGGCCAGGCAGAGGCTGGCAGTGTCGTGATCCCAAAGCAGATCTGGTAGCACAAACTTGGCATTTCTTTCTGGAGCTCCAAGGTCACTGCCAGAGCTAAGCAAAATCCAGGGGGGTTATTCCTGAAAGAAGTAGTTTGAGAAAAGGGGGAATTGTTGTTGAGTCCAGTGAAATATGTTGAATGCTTTGGGGTTCAACCTTCTCCTCCTTCCAAAAGGAGGGGAAAAATACATCTAAGAAGTCAGGGTGTTGTAATATATTGGGGCTGGGACATTTTGACCTTCCATTCTGAAAAGTAATTCACTTTTTTTGGGAAGTAAATGAAACTAATGTTTTGAGTGGAGGAAGGGAACCAGGTACCCTGCAGCCAGCAAAAATGCAAAGCAACGATAGCACCGTTCTCATGCAGAATGCATGAATGTAATTTTTATTCTAATTACCCAGCCTTTATTGCTGAGAGTCTGAGCTCAGGCTGGAGAGCTCTCTGCCGCCCATGTCAGCATGCTGCAAGCTGGCACCTTTCCACCTTTGTCTTCCTCGCAGTCGTCTCTTTTCTTGCAGGCTCCCCGTACTACTACAGTGCTGCAGCCCGTGGGGCAGCCCCGCCAGCAGCTGCCGCTGCCTACGACCGCCACTGACGCCAGAGCCTGGGGCACCAGCACTGACTGCATGCACCACCTGGGACAGCCGCGCCGAGTCACCTTGCTGCAACCGCGCCAGCCATGCTGCAAGGGAATGAGAAAGTACCTAGTAGGAAAATGCTAATTGAAATTTTGCTCTTTAAACTTGATGAACTGATTACTGTTGTATTCTTAAAGCTGGTCGTGTTGACTGGGTCTCAAATCAAGCAAAGAAACAGGAGGAAGCGGTTCTCCTGATGCTCTGTGTGATCAAAAATGTGCAGTAGCTTCATGTCTTTTGCAGCCGGCTGGCTACTGCTTTAATCGCCTGTGGGAGCCACGGCTGTATCTGGGGATAAGGAAGAGATGTGAGCAGCCCTCCTTGGGGCGGCTTCCTCTTGCTGCACACTGAAACAGGCTGTGAGACACAAGGCAATTTTCTTTTTTTTTCTTTCTTTTTTTTTTTTTTTGTGGCAAAGAAAAAAATCAGTCTGCTCAATTTTACACAAGCACCACTGTAAATACTTGCTTGTTTGTATTACTATAAGAGTGGCTTAAGCATAAGCAGCAACATTGTACAAATATGAACTCAAAACGCATCTGAAAATGTGTTTTGAAACTGGTGCACTGATTCAAAGAATTCAGTAAGCTTTAAGCAACTTTGAACCAGGTTAACACTCATTGTGGCTGTATTTCGGGCTGATGTTATTTCTATATCTGAAATATCCTATCTGACAGTCGTGTGTGATCATGCTATATGCCAGTATCAAACACATGGACAACTGAAGACATGGGCAGTTTTGTGACATTTTACTGCTTAATATTCATTTATGTTCATTTGTCATCATAATGAGCACTGAAACAAATTCTCTGGTTTCAAGTTAAGCAGCATCCAAGAAGGAATTCCTAAATAATATTTGACACCTTATGTACATCTCAATAGGTTGTGTGCTAAAACCCAATTATGAACACCCTGAGAGGAAGGGGGAGAAACACCACGGTAATAATTTTTGTTAAACGGCCATATTGAGTGGGGCATACCGAGAGCGGGGGCGGCCACACGCACTTTCTGAGGCAAACCGGAGGGGAAGGCTCTCGTTTTGGGGGTCTGTGCATTTCAGTGAAGGCATTTCAAATTCAAGCCGCCATAGTCCAGACATATACCAGGGGGGATTTTGCCCCATTAATTCCATGTTTCTTCCCTCCCACGCGGAGAGGGAGCACTAATAGTGACATGTCCTTCGATGTGCGGCTTCCTGGGGCTAATGAAGAGAGGAGAGCAGCTACAAATGACCCGCTAAGCAGCTACACCAATCACTGCCACTTCGTGGGAGCCAGGAGAACTGCTGATTTCCCCCTGCAGCCTCCCCCTGCCCCAGGCCGAGGGGCAGCCAACCTCAGTCATGCATTGATGACAGGCATGACCCCGTCCCCTCCTCCTGAGGGCAGTGGAGAAGCTCCCTGACCCTGGTGAGAAGAAGATCTGGCTGTAGCCTCCTTACTCCCGACCCAACCATCCTCATCTGCCCAGAGAAGCACAGGCACTGCAGAGGGGTCCTGTTGGCGCTTGCCTGTGTGTGTCCCAAGGCTGAAGAAGGGTTGTTGGTGTTGAACCTGAGACGCACTCCTGTGGATGAACAATCAAGTACAAATACTTGCTTCCAGCTGTACAAGCATTTCTCTGAAATGGCAGCTCCTGAGTTAACACTCCTCCCTCCCCACCTCATCGTTTGTGCTGCATGTCCAGTGTCCTTAGTGGCCACTGACCTGTTGAGAAGCTCCCACTCCAACTCTAGTGACATCTTCTCACACTATGGAAACGCAGCCATCACTTCCAGGTTTCCGGGGCAGATGTGTTCAGATCCTCAAAAGCCATGAAGGCACCCAGGTCCCACTTGCTTAATGACATTTCAGTGGGATGTTCACAGAGCCCGTCAGGGATCTTGGCCGAAATCCTTCAAACTGTGTCCCTAACCCAGAAGTAAGTTTTGTGATGAACTTACCAGTGAGAAAAGGCCTGCTTTTCATCTTTGAGTAATTAATAGCTGATACACACCCGTTTTTAACTGAAGACAAATAACAGCATGGACAATTTACACAGGGAACCTTCTGAAGCATTACTTTGATGTTGTCCCTTTCTGAACACCCCATGATCGCTTGCACTCTGGTGACAAAGCTGCAAAGGGTGTTTGTGTCCCTGGACGCTTGTGTGGGGACTCTTCATGCCTGCCCTGGGGCCAAGGCATGTGCGTTGTCTGCACCCTGAGCATACACACCTTCTCTGTGAGCTCGGGAAGGGATGAGGCTGGCTGGCACCTTGGCTGAAGAGAAAAGAAACGAGGGCTTGACTGCAGGAGGCAAGGGTGCGGGTGATGGCTCCAGAACAGAGGGTGGGCTGAGCTACACCAGCCACAGAGACACCACCTGCTTGGTGACCAGGCTGGGCTAAAACGAGTCTTTCTGTCTGTCCAGTGAGGGAACAGCAGCTCCTGTTGACAGCATGTGGGTCCTTCACCCACTCTGCATACTGCCCTGCAAACACGTTTCTTTTATTTGTTTCCTCAGTGGCATGGCTTGTGTAAAGTACGCTAATTCAGATAACATTGAGAAGACCAAACACGAGACTTTGGCAGATGTTAGCATGCTCAGGCCAGTGGCACTTGCAGTTGGGCTGGAGACTTAGGAAAGGCACAGCAGGTGTATTTCACCTGAAGGATGTATGGATGCCACTGGATGAAGTGACCTGAGATGCTCAGACCTGGCTAGCCCTATGGTTTTCATTGGGATTTCCTGAGGGTGGCCCTTGGCCAGAGCCACTTGCCAGGCATGGTGGTGGGCTCCATCCTGCTGGCCGGGGGTGCAGGCAGGGACGGTGCGGGTGCATGGGTAGCATACAGGTCCTGGCCAGAGCCAAACTCCCACCCTTGCATGTGCAAGGTGGGCTCCTGCACCCAGCCCATCTCCCAAAACATGGCAGCCAGGCTCGCTTTTATCTGCTGGAGCTGCTTCCCTGCAAGAATCATAGAATCATAGAATGGTTTGGGGTGGAAGGGACCTTAAAGATCATCTAGTTCCAACCTCCCTGCCATGGGCAGGAACACCTTCCACTAGA